GTTTGAGGAATTTTGTTTTATAGAAAAAAATTATAGTCGAAAATTTTGCCGAGGACTTTTCAGCACCAGTATTGGCCATAATCATCACGACTCGCTAAAACTAAAAATTGTCACTGTCCATGGCTGGCGCACTCGTCATCGAAATAATTCTTAACACATTGACGACAGCGCGATGCACATGTGTCTTCCACCCTTCGAAGCCATCATGGGACCTCACATTAGGAATGCGCCCCGCATCGATGTCTTATTTTTGTATATGCGCGACTTCCTTTCTGATTTCTGACGTGCATTCTATAGACCGCATCATAACGGAATACAGATGACGTGGTTCACAGAACGGTCAATTGAGCATTTGTTTAGGAGTGGCATTCCGAAACCTGTGGTAGAAAATCGTTAGTACGACTTTCTCCTCCTTTTTACATAAGGGCGCAAGTCGGGTAGCTTAACCGGTTTGCGCTCGAAACCTACATGGGTTAGGGGAAGGAGGGGTGATAAATATTGCAGCGGCTTTCGTGGCCATGCACTACTCGGCATTGACATGAAATTAGGATCCGGGAAAACCTGATATAGTTGAATATTATTAATGGTGTTCTGTGCCTTTCACGTTTTGTGTACTCACTACTCTAACTTCGGTTGTGAGGTAGGCGGGCGTGCAAGCAAAATCGCAGTGGTTCCATGCAATCTAAAAGTCAAAACGCGCTGTCGTCAATGTATTATTATATATTAATGACCTGTTGGACTGATTGAGGAGCGCTACGAAAGCCCACTTTTACAGGTCGCCTCTTGGGGATACGGCGAAGAGAAACTGCAATTGAACGCCACGAAGAAGCCCTATCTCCAACATTATTCAGCAAACGAGGAGTGGGCTTTGCATGTGAGAAGATAGTTTCTCAGAAAACTGATCAGTTCTAGGCTAAAAGCCAAACAGTTTTAATTTTTGTTACAGGACGTCAGCATCAGACAAGACCATTACGATCACGAAGGAATGATTGTAAATGAGGCACGTTATGTGGTTGTGATAGCACGGAAACCTTTCTACTACTTGATTAGCCTCGTGCTACCAAGTTACATCATATGCATGCTGTCAATAGCCGGGCTGTTTGCGAGATTTTCCACAAAGCACGAACGACAGGTGAAATTGTTGGCAGTAGCACGGCTATGTCGGTTTGGCATTTCATCCTCGTCTTTAGGAGCGATTCACCCTTGGAGTCACCGCAATTCTCAGTATGGCCGTGTTGTCACTCGTTATCACAGAGAAAGTGCCGCATACCTCGGAAGGAGTTCCACTGTTGGGTGAGTTCATGGTCTGCTAGTTTTGATAGTGACAGGAATGAATTGAAACGAGGGCAGAGGGCGTGAACATCACGCGAGCAGTCGCGGAACAGGCAGCTGTTCTGTTAGATGGTTGACCTAAAGGCACGAGTCGGGATTGAATTGATGCGTTATTTTGTTCAAACATTAGGCAAGGGGTGCAATGAGGAACATTAGTGAGGAGAAAAAGCAAAAAGCACCATAGAAAACACTAAATTTCCCTTAGGAGGCCGGCCGTAGTACGACGGAGAGACACAGCGCTGCGAGGAGAGGGAGAACGCGAGATAGTACGTCGTACGCGAGAGGACGCAGAGACCGGTATGCCGTAGTGGATTACCCTATTTTCCGTTGTACACCGCGGTGCACAATAGATTGCACCCCATAGAAAACTTAATTTTCTTGAGAGCCGGAAACTTTTGTTGCTTCTGCCTATACTATAGTTTAGAAATAGACGAAGGAATAATATCTGTGATATTTATTTGACATTACGACTTTTTTCAAAGTTTGTGACAACAATTTTTCACTTTTTGAGCCGGTGCATAATAGATTGGACGATATGTATTGTGGATCAAAAAACAAGACGTAAAGTCTGCTCCTCCCATCTAAGTATGAGCAAAGCGTCCTTCTTCTCAGTGAGCTTGGGACTGGAATCAGATTTTGAATCAGCGCATTCTAAGCAGCAGAGGCGGTAGAGTTTTCCACTCCTTTGTAATGGTATTTCTTAGCGGCTGAACATTGTCATACGTCCCATTTCGTAGATCTTACGCGTCAGTATACCCTATGTATTCCCGATAGGGTTTGTATCAGGATTACATGCCGGCGATGAAAATAATGGGTTGTTATTAGATTGAAAGTGGGACAGAGTGCTTCACGAAGTGTGGTTCGAAGCGTTCTTTTGCACGAAGATGAAGTGCTTGTTGAAGTCTCAAGAAACGAATGGTACCAACGTGTTGTTGAGGAGTGACTGATAGTTCTGGCTTCTCATTCACAAGAATCAAAATGAATCTCAAGGCTACCATCACTAGAGGATGCCCACCAAACCATTCAGGAGAATGCACCAGATGTTGCTTCGAGCACCAGTAGTGGTTCACTTCTGCAAGAGCGCCAGTTCGAGTGCCGTTAACACTACTCACCTCCGCCGAACAAAATGTCATCGAAAGAAATTACCGTAGGAAAAATAGAAATGAGAAATTTAAATTTAACATAAAGCTGGAAATGTGCCCAGAACACTCCGCTGCCCAATCTCTGCAATCTCATCCTCGCAAGAGGGAGCCGCTTATGTCGATGATATTGAGTCAGGCGTAGTGTTCATATATCGGAGACACAGACGGCTCGAGCATGCGAGTGTGAATGTTCGCGCGAGAGAACGTGTCTAATCGGGCGAAACTGCGCAACGCAGGGTTGACTCTGGTCTTCCTTGGTGTCAAATCCGCGGTAAACATGAATCCGAAGTAGGGAAATGTGGCCGTCGTTGGCAAAGAGATTTCGTCCATGACTGACGACTTGTGTGCCGGTGCACATGCACTCTGGCTTGTTGATATTGAGCTTAAGTGCATGGCCGTCAATTTACCTGTCGCAATTTTAGAATGTTCCATTCAGCTCACCAGCATATTAATTGGGGTTTTGCATTATTAGGCTGAAGATTAATTACTAATCAGGACTTCTTCGTCTTCTCATAGCCCTCAGATATGGGAAGGGGTTTGAAGTGTATCGGAAATTCTCTTGGACACAAACTTTTAGAGGTTTGCCCTCCTTCCCTTTGAAACCCGAGTTCCCTTCCAAATTTGGAATTCTCTTGAAAACAATTACAGTATGAAAGCCTAGAACTGCAGTTATATCTGGTATCAAAGTCAAAAATTCTATAGAAAAACTGCTTTGAGGGACAATTTTGCCCAATTGTGAGCGAGAGTTGGGCGCGCCAAAAAGAGGCGTGGTCCCATGAGCAAGCTACGTGCAAATCCGCATTGTCGTCAAAGGGTTAAGAACAATGGCATGAGAAGGCATACATGAACAGAAAATTGCCGCGATTCGAGCCACATGGCAACGCGCAACGCAGGGTTAACTCTGTTCTTGATCGGATGAGATCTGGCCTCCTCAGCACGTGCCCATACCATCAAAGGCGCTGCTCTCGCACCTTCAGCTGGACAGGGGCAGTCTGCATGACCGCTCTGACATCCTCGTTTCTGACCCTGTCCAGCCGCGTCCAGCCGCAGGCCCACCTCAGCATCCTCATCTCAGCGGAGTGAAGCTGCCTTTCGTGGTTCTTGTTCAGGGGCCAGCACTCGCTGCCGTATAGCATCGCAGGCCTACCACTGTCCGGTACACCTTCCCTTTGAGCGTTCTGGAGCACCTTCGATCGCAGAGGATTCCAGTGGACTCCCTCCATTTCATCCATGCCGCGTTGATTCGTGCCTTCACTGCCTGATCCACACTTCCGTCGGCTGCCAGATCGCTCCCAAGGTATCGGAAGTCCTCCACTCTTTCGATGGTCTCACCATGGCCGTCCTACGATCGGCTCTGCACCCTCTTCAGAGCTCAGGAACTTGGTCTTCTTGACATTCAGCCGGAGCCCACCTTCTGCCAGGACTTCTGCCATTTCTGCACCTTGGCCTGTAGTTCCTCTCTGCTATCCGCTATCAGGGCGATGTCGTCAGCGTAGAGGATGGTCTTTAGTGGTCCTTCCATGAGCCCCTTCACCAGGACATCTAGTGTTAGGAGGAAGAGGAACGGGCTCAGAGCTGACCCTTGGTGCACCCCAACCGTGATGTCCACCTCCTTCGTTAGGCCGTGTGGGGTGCGTATGGCTGCCTTGGCTCCTTCGTACATGTCCTTCACCAGCGAGATCAGGTGTTCTGGCACGTTTCGTTCCCTGAGCGATCTCCATAGTACTGCTCGCGGTAGCCGGTCGAACGCCTTCTCCAGGTCGAGGAAGGCTAGGTAGCAGGGTCGGCGCTTTTCTCGATACTTTTCCATCACTTGCCTGCGATGAAGATGGCATCCGTTGTAGACCTTTCGGGCATGAACCCGAACTGTTCCTGGGAGATCGGGACCAGCTCCCGCAGTTTCGAGTCGACCAGCCGCTCGTACAACTTCATGGTATGCGCAGTCAACTTGATCCCGCGGTAGTTGGAGCAGTCCATCGCGTCACCCTTCTGTTTGAAGATGGGGACGATGGTACTTGTCCTCCATGCATCCGGCATCTTTCCTTCCACTGTTACCTTGTTCAGGAAGCTGGTGAGCCACCTTATGCCGTACTCTCCGAGCGCCTTCCATGCCTCGATTGGCACCCCATCTGGGCCAACCGCCTTTCCAACCTTCATCCTCCCAAGTGCACACCTAACCTCATCCTCAGTCCAGAGTGCGATGGGACCAGCTGTGGCCTCTGTAGATCTACGCTCTCAGTAATTTTCTTCGTTTCCCATTTTGAAGGCACAGGTCTCCATCGAATTGCTGTGTTATCTTGTTCGAAAATCAGGCAAAAAATAATTGTGATCATGACGGCGCAAAGAAACAGCACTACGGGGGGGGGGGGAACACTGAGAGCACGCCGTATTTGGGAGGGCACAGACGCTACGTATGTTACGTTTGAGAAGAATAACAACGGTCGCAGTGGTCAGGCGAAAGCATCAGCTCACTTGTCGTGCGCTTTTGAGTCGCTGAAGTATCGTCAGTCCTGTAATTAGGGGTCTTGCTCTCGCACTCATATAGAGTATTTTTGTGATAATCTAAACACGGCCTGTGCCTCAACTTCATTCTGCTCTGTGAACATAACCTAAACAATACAATATTGAAACATGTCTGATATAACGCACCACTTAAAGGCAAGCTTCGAGATGAACTAGGTGTGGAACAGCGTTTACCATAAAGCTAGAGGATGGGGAGTGGCCTGGAAAGAAAAAGAAAGCAAGGAGAAACCCCGATTACGCCCCGAATAAAGACCTCCATTATTTCATTTTCATTCCACTGTAGGATAGAAAAGGGGCGTTTTGGACGAGTTTCATAAACCTATGTAGCTTCAGTTGCTCCAGTGTCAATGACATTGAATCGCAATGCAACCGCTGCCGCAACTGCGCCCGCGCTTTTCAAGCAGCGTCACGTGGCAACCGACAGCGGAAGGCGGGGCTTGCGGACGAAGGAGTGGATTGCGGGTCGAGCGAGCTTCCAGCGCCACCCATTTCAAACTGCAAAAAGAGCGCGACATCAACGCTCGTGCACCGTCTTCTACGCTCGGATATTAAACAAATGAGCGTGCCTAATCCCGGAGCGTGCCTTCAACACACTAAAGTTTGAGGAATTTTGTTTTATAGAAAAAAATTATAGTCGAAAATTTTGCCGAGGTCTCCCTAGAGACGAGTACCGCCGGTCGAATTTTGCTTTCGATTCAACCTATAGCTTTGGGAAATGACTGCTGACCCACTGACTGCTGCTGAAAGACAAGGTAATTTATTAATCGCGCCGGGGTTCCATGTGGAGATTAACAGTTTTTCGGTCAATTACAGTTGTATTGCAGTGGTTTTGATGTTAGATTTCGCAATAAAACAGTACTCTGTAAATCTACGCTTCTTCTTCTCCCTAGCGTTAGTCCCGCGCAGTCGCAGGGTCCGCTGTCTTTGTCAGTCGTCGCCACTTTGCTCTGTCCAGGGCATCCTCTGCTGTGGCCATGACTTCACTAGGATCCTTCTTGATCACGTCTCCACCTCTTCTTTGGGGCTCCTCGCGGTCGCTTGCCTTGCACTTCGAAGTCCATCGCTTTCTTGATCAGAGTCAACCCTGCGTTGCGCAGTTCGCAACGGCGTCGAGAGATCCTCAACGCACGCTGTATGGGCAAACGATATGAATCGCCGCCACATTTGTTAGTTACATTTCAGAGTTCCAAAGTGGGAAATCAGGTCGACAAAAATTAGCCAAACTGGCAACAGCCTAACTCTGTTTTCCACTAGGGCAAATTTGCTACTAATGGGATGAAAAATACGCCTGAGCCTTATTCAAGATCATGAGAAGTGTCGCCGTACAAAAACCTCACCTTGAAAACCCGCTACAAGGGACTTGGACACGTGCTAACGCCGTCCTATCCCATTCCTCTGCGTTGCTAGCCGTAAAGGTCGCGTGCTTGGCTGCAACGGCGATTGCGTGTAAACTGCAGCGGCTTCCAAGAAATGCTTTTTGTTTGGTTTTACTTGCTTGAATTGTTTGATTATCGTATTTCTTTTTTTGTATTGGTGTGTATGCGATTACAACCGCATTTCGTTGGCACGAGCCAGCAACAAATGTCATCGGAACAAGCTAGTCCGGACCAGAGTCAACCCTGCGTTGCGCAGTTCGCAACGGCACGTTGAGAGATCCTCAACGCACGCTGTATGGGCGGAGACACAGACGGCTCGAGCATGCGAGTGTGAATGTTCGCGCGAGAGAACGTGTCTAATCGGGCGAAACTGCGCAACGTGGCCGTTGAGAACTGCGCAACGCAGGGTTGACTCTGGTCCGGACAGCTCGTCCGGCTCCACACCCCCTCCTTACCCAAGGGGAGAGGGAGCCGCCTGCTTCTGTGCGGGAAGAATATGCACTACTCACACTGCATTTATAGGGGGGGGGGGTAGGAAGGTGTGCAACGGCGTGGCCTTTTTTTCGTCTGTGCAGCCTCGGTGGAAACAGCGATGCCAGAGTTTTTGAGGTGGCCGCGCTAAGGCGCGATGGCAAGGGCACTTGGGACTAAGCTTATGAGAGGAGCGTTGCCTTAATCTCGATGCGTCAGGGCAGAGCGCGAAGACGAACAGAGCATCGCGCCGCAGCATTGATCACCCTATCCCGAACTACAGTGGTACCATATATGCATCTGCAGAATGAATCTTCGGCATGTGAATGGTTGTGAACTTGGTTTGGTTAGATTTTCGGCATTTCTTAGTGACATTTTTACATATGACAGGTTTCTGACGAATGGCTCTTGTATTGTCTATACGTGTATTGGTGCCGAAGCAAACGCGACTGGGCATCATTTCCCCCTGCGCACTTGAGTTAGCTTCCACTCAGGAAATGAGAGTGACGTGACGTAAATGCTTGCGCCTACGCAAAACTTCCAGGATGTTTTTCTGTTGAAATCGTTCAACTTGGGCGAGATGCTCGATCTCAATAGTCAAAAACACCATTCTGTACTAGTGCATAGAACCGAAAAAATATAGAAAGAGGGACACGACACAATTTATGGTTTTATTTCAGGGCCGTCAAATAGGCTCACGCGGCATTTATTGAAACAGCACGAAAAGTGAGTCTGAATTTCTCTTGCTATGCAACTAGCAGTCTTTACTTTGTTCTTCATATCAGATAGGTCAGCCTCATGAGTGATGTGCGAAACTTGCATGACATTGTTTGCCTGGATGAGAATCGATTTCGTAAACTCAGTTCGTAGATTTGCAAAAACAAGCTGTACCTCCCCCAATCCTGGTTTTTGGCAAATACGCGCTGTGCGTCATTGAGTGGGAGCAGCTGCCATAAATATTTCATAATCATTACTAGAAGGGCAAATTGCAACATCTCTGTACTTCATGGGCATGAGAGAGCTATGATGATGACAGCACTATGGATGCAAAACTTTCGACCCTGGTGGGACTCGAACCCACAATCTTCGGATCCGGAGTCCGACGCCTTCTCCATTAGGCCACAGGACCACGTGATCTTTTTCAAATCGATGTCGCCTAAGGCTATGAATGAAACTATTGTAGTGTGGGTGGATCTGTTTATGGGAGGTATCTACGCAGCGCGCGCATGCCATTTCTGACAGCTGCGTAAGTGAAGCCGACGCCTTCGTGCAGCAATTGTTCTCATGTCGCTAAGCGAGCTGCCAACGTCTTTTTTTTCTGGCACTTTGAAAAACCTCTCAATCGGACAACTGATACCCTAAATACTTATGCTTCAATAATCCCTATTCGCAATATTCGTGGTTTTGTTCATGCAGCGCTGTAACTTCTCAAGATTTAACTTCTCAAGATTTCTCTGTCTTTCCTCTGTTTTTGCACTCTTTAAACTTCTCTAATTTACAGTTGGCATTCAGATGCGCTCCACCAGATGGAATCGTGGTGATCACTCACGAGATGGAACTCGTACATATCCATACAGTTGATGAACTTAAACAAACAATGATTGTTCTCGTTTATGTTGTTGAGGTCATCCAGCCGTCAATACAATTTTGATCATTGCAAAACATCCTTTATGAGATTTTTCAGGAGTGGGATGATCCCACTCTGAGTTGGGATCCGACGAATTTCTCTGGTCTCCGAGTTACGTGGCTCCCAGAAGAGGCCATATGGGTCCCGGACATCATCGTCTTCAATATGTTAGTAGAGCCAATATTGACCATATTCGTTTCCTTCCATTATCTTAGAATTAGATGGCGGCAGATTGTACTGAATGTGTTTTGCAGATAGGAATAGGTGCAGCATTTGTCTGAGTTAATCTTTACTTGAAAGGCTAGCGAAACTCCGGGATTACGTTTATACTAGCCTCGATAACGTCTCTAGTGGCAGGAATTGTCAAGCAGTTACAAGAAGTAGCATAAAATTCCTCAATCAAATATGGGCTTACAGGGTTACGTTACATCAATCCACTGGAACTCGACAAGGGTGGGGAGGGGCGGGGTGGAAGGGGGATGGTGGTGTTGAAGTGTTGGAAAGAGGTCAGTGCTCAAAAATTCGTTCCCAATGATGATAAAAAAGGATAAAGCATTCGCCGTTGATCAATCTTTTTTTTTGGGATGTGGCACGCATTCTACTTCCATTGTGTACATTCGTAGTGGCGTTTGAATGCGATGGGGCGTCAAAACACCAGAGGGGTGGGGAATTTTTTTGACAAATTTGCTTATTCATGCTCGACGCTGTGCACTGCAGCGAAAGCTAGCTCTCAATCGCACACAGTATCAGATAGAGTAAAAACTAATTCATAAGACGTCCTAAAAATTAAGCCATTGAAAACACTAATAGTGAGGGCCTAAATATCTTCTAAGGACGAGTACTGTCCGACAGTGATGCAAGAAGAAGGCAGAATACGCGGGAGAGCAGCTATGCAAGAGAGCCCCCCCCCCCTAGAAAATGAGGTTGTGGGAAGATAGGTAAAATTGGGTAAAAGTAGGGGTGAAATGGGTGGAAATAGAGGAAATTATAGGAAATTTTCGAGAATTTTTACCGTTTCGGAGTAGCTATATACCCCCCCCCCCCCCTCCTCCCCCCGCTCGACGGCAATTTTGGAGGAAAAAGTGGGCGGAGTTTCGTGGGTTGATCAGAATTAAATACTATAGATAGGATGATGGTGGGTCGAGGTGGTCGAGGTGTCGAAAAGGGGGTCGTATCAAGTCCACCTTGGGGGAGGGGGGTCGTAAAAATTTTTGAAAAGGATAGGACCGGCCCTGCCTCCAATCAACTAAGGCTGTGCGCCACTAACTGGGGGCATTGGTAAGGCCCTAGCGCCCTTCTTGCGCTTTTTCGACTTGTATTGATGGCACATTGCTCTCGTTCGTGAAACGTTTATACTACCTAACGAAGGAATTACTGCAGTGGTCATCCCGGATCTTACCATCAAGATCTAGTGGGTGCAGATCGACTTAGCATCTCTTTTGCCATCCTGCTTCAATGCAGGCTGCTGTACTAATAAATTATCTATTTAGCTAGAATAGTTGTTGGTTTTTAGGTTGAATCATCAGGAATTACTGCACTCGGTGAGATCTCCTATACGAGTACAACACACTGGAAGAGTAACATTCTCATACCCAGCAATCTATTCTGTCATGTGTCAGATAGGTGATTTTTCTACTATATTTGATGTTTTTCTTTCTCTAACTGATTAAGCCTTGGTATGTGTACACGTGTGCAAAGCTTAAGGAACGAGATAGATGAAGTACCTAACTTATTTATAGCTTTGTGGACCTTTTAACGGTTCCTATTATTTGCTTTTTGTACTATACTGGAACAGTTTCTTATATGTGTGGTTAGGTTCTATAGAGCTGTTTACTCGGCAGTAATACGTCACGGAAAATTTAGGTTCGTCCTTAAGTTTTGCACACCAGTGTAGTTGTAAGCGGGCATCCATTGGCTCTGTTCCATTGCACATCCATATGAGTCAGGTTTGATCTTAACCCGGAACGTAAATGCCTCACGGTTAAGGCGTTTCGAGACTGTTTTGGGCCTTCGTCTTCGTTCCATTGCGTCTTTGCTCACATTGCTCACATCATATTATAAATCTGAACTTTTCAGGGATCGCGAAGTTTCCTTTTGACAGTCAAACATGTGAACTACGAGTGAGTCATAAACCTGCGCAGTTTTGTTGTGGTCACAATGCTCCTTCCATGGACGGTTAACGTACAGTAGCTTTCAAAAGCCTTTCGCATCACCTTTTTCAGCCTTTTCTTCACTTGACTACAGATGGGAAGTTTCAATGAGTTCGGTACCAAAATGTTGCGAATCCTTCCGCAATACAGTGCGTTTCATACATAATTATAAGGTCACCCTAAAATATTGCATTTCCGGAACCAGCAGCCAACTGGTGATTTTTCCACTATCACCAAATGATTCCCCACTACGAATAACCCCTGTATCGCAATTTTGGGGAGCAGCTTTTCTTCGAACTTTTTTGTAATTATTTTTCGATTTTTGCACCGTTTCATAATATAAGGTCACCCTGAGAAAAAGAACAATTACCTGAGATTAATGACAGATAAAAAAGACATAATAATCTATGGTTCCTCCTTTATCAAGGGCAACACCGAATAGTCTCCGTGGCCTACTGGAATTGAGATTCCAAGGCAGATGACCATCGATTTACTTTCGTGTTTCACGGGTTGCTTGTTTCAGCTCTTTTGAAGTTCCTAACTGGCGTTTATCCGCGCCATTCTTCACGATGCCCCTGAGATATTCTACTGAAATATGTATGACTAGAACTTTGAATAATCTGTTCAGTTCATCTGAGTTTCGAGAGAAATGCTGCTTCTGGTTGAGTGACCAACATGGGTACCTGTGCTGTTCTGTATGACGTAGGCTAGCCGACTTCATCAGCTCAAGGAAGAGGTCAGATGTCCTTGCAAGGCTCTATGCTAATCTTTGGAGTCCATTATGCAGTTTATGGAAGCGAAATTTTGACACAACATCATCACAAAAAGCACCCACACCTTTCACATTTCCTTAACTAAAATTGCAAGCGCTGAAGTGAATCGGCCACCTTCGCAAGTCACTTCAAAAGTGTTTATATCCGCAGGATCTGTTTGTTTAAACCAGTTTTGTCCAAAAAATACCAACCTTACTGAAATTATCTTGCTGTGTGGTGCGATTGTGGCGCAGGCTCAACTTTGTTCAATCTCTCTCTAAGTTCAACTTTACGGGTTGAAGTTGTGTCACCTACGGACCATCTTTGTGCTTTCCTGGTAATGTTGCTGCATCATTTCACCGCTCTCCAGTTCATATTTTTCAAGATAGAAACATTAAATTAGGCACGACGCCGATTTGAAGCGGAAATACTGTTTGGGACAGCCCTCATAACTCTTCTCTAATCATTTATAGAAACCATTTTGTGGATGTTCTGAATTGTAGAATATCTGGAGACGTAGGAGCTTTTCAATTATCCATGAGCAGTGCTAATGACTGTCCGAAATGCTTTGGAAAGACTCGCGAACCGTGCCAAGCACCATGAAATGCATAAACTTTACCTTTTCTTCGAGTACGAAACATTCCATAAATTTAGCTACTGGTGTGTTTGTAACAAACATTCAATTTCACAGGCAGGTTGGTTGTTTCTGATAATGTAGTATTCATTTTCACAGGGTGACCTTATATTATGAAACGGTGCAAAAACCGAAAAATAATTATAAAAAAGTTAAAGAAAAGCTGCTCCCGCCAAAATTGCGATACAGGGGTTTTTCATAGTGAGGAATCAGCTGGTGATACTAGAAAAATTACCAGTTGCTGCTTGTTCCGGAAATGCAAATTTTAGGGTGACCTTATAATTATAAAACGCACCGTACGTGCCTAGCAAACATCGGATCCCGAGGTTTTTTTTTTCTGCTCACTGTACTGCCTGTTTTAGGGCCACGTCGCCCAATCAAACAAATTTATCTATAGGAATAACTCCAAGGTATCCTAAACAAGTCTACGCAGCTGCAAGCGGTAGGTGTCTGCGCTAGCAGTGGTGGTGCTGGTTGAAGTCTGTAGCAATTCAAGCATCGGAGAGTGGGACCTACTTTGCTGCCGAGCTACATCTCCCCTTTCATGCCTCCACATGTTGCTCGAATAGTTTTCGCCCTTCTCAGCCGTTTTCGAGCCAATCGAAACTACAGATCCTAGACAGCAATTTTTGGCAGAAGTTGCACGCGCCCTACCAGCATCCTCATCCACCTCTTGTTCTACCCACCTGGTAAATTTCCCCGTGGCAAAAGGGCATGCATGACACATGGTGTTGTGAAAGCACTGAGTCCACTGCTACTTGATGAAAACTGGCGCAAGAGTTTTCTTCAAGAAGCTTTTGGATGGATTCAAGATCTACGGTCAGTTGGCGCCGGAAGGTGGTTGATCTTTAGAACTGCAGTCACCTTAGCAAAACTTTCAAACCGACTTTACACAAATCCTCTCCCTCAACTACCTGGTCCATTAGCTTCACAACTACTCTGATAGCCTTCTCTCTATGAGCGCCCTACGCGGAGCTCGTAAAGAAGACAGTGATT